GGGCAAACAAAAAAGTAGGTTATTCATACCTCACAGGTTAAGGGCTCAGTCTCCACTTCAGACACCAATACAAGTCAGGGACACCCATAGTTCTAAGCAACTCATATAAAGTCAGTAGTTCTTTCTACAACTGAAACAGCCAAATGGGAGAGATTCATAGGGCAAAGTGTTGGGGAAGGGAGGGTAGAGGAGCTTCCACATTCTCCCTGGGTGAATCACTATCCCAGCACCTTGATGTGTTTACCAACCTACAAGCTCTCCAAACCCTGAAGTTTAGGGGGTTTTATGGTGTTTTCATTCCATAGGCATAACTGATTAAATCTTCAGTCACTGGTTATTAAGTCAATCTCCAGATCCTCTCCCCTCCAAGGAGGTCAAGGGGTGGGCTCAAAGTTCCAACCCTTCAATCAAGCCTTGGTCTTTCCTTCCTGAAACTATCCAGCTGCCAGTTATTCATTAGCATACAAAAAGACACTCACCGCTAGAAATCTTAGATCTTGTGTTTGGAACCTAGGACTAAGACCAAATATTTTAACAGAAGATGTTCCTATCAACTCTATCTCAGGAAATTACAAGGGTTTGGGAGCTCTGTGCCAGGAACTGGGGATGAAAACCAAATATGTATATATAACTTATATTACAATGTAACATACATGTTATCTCTAGATCCACAACTTGGGTTCTCACAACTCATTCAAACCACATTCCCTAAACCATAGTTACACTAAGTTCACATTCTCTGTCAGTCTCGCAGATATTTTAAAATAGGAAGAAAAGCCTTGAGAATATAAACCATTTAGTTTTACAGATCTGTTCCATAACACTGCCCATATCCAAACACACAAATTAAGAAATGCTAGCCCAGACAAATAAATAAAATATGCTGTTTGAATTCATGAATTACTTCTTACTCTATTAGATAAATTCTTAACTTGCTTTAGAATAGGAATTCTCTGCAATGCCCTTTAAGAAACAGTAGAATTTTGCCCATAAATGGGAAACTAAAAAAGAAAAACTGGTCCTATCTCCTTTTTTGTCAAACTTTTCATTTGCCAACAGTATTCAATTTTCCATCAGTCTCCTTCTGCTTATTCATAATCAAGGTAAATACTGGAAAATCTCTCACTTTTAAAACTACTGATATGTCCCCCTTGACTTCTACTTAGTCACTCAAAAATATATTAATGTATTACTTCTATAGCACATGCTAGAAACATAAAAGATAAAAAAAGAATTGCCCCTTGTGCTTAAGAAGTTGACAAGTTAGAAAAACTGTAAACAACAAAATAATGTGATAAAAGCTAAGACACTGGTATGTTCAGGTACTAAGAAAGCAAGGTGAGGGGGAGAATAATTTCACATGGCAGGCAGAAAGGGTTAAAGAAGATACCTGTGATATACGAATATATTTGTGATACATGAACTCTAAGGATCAGGGTGTTTGTTAGATAAAGTTTACAGCAAAGAGCATAAACTCTGGGAGAGGGATGAAAGCATCTGATGTGCTGAGGTGCACATCAGGGGCAGGAAAATTGCCCATTCCACCTAGATTAGGGGTATGAGAAGAGAGAAAGAAAAGCAGTTTCTTCAGGGCATCGCAAAATGGAGCTCAAGTTAATTCTTCATTTATGTAACTCACCCACAACAGGGTTGGGGAACATGATTCTCTGTCAAAGACTACTCCCAGGGATCCACCCCACCCACCCCCAAAAAAACCTGAAGGATCACCCGACAGACGAGGGAAAATTAGGAGGAAAGCACTTTTTCTAAAAACTAACTGGGGAAAACAACAAGCCCTTTCACCCAAAATATTTCCCCATTTACTTAAGCTTTAAATTTTAAAAGAAAATCCAACTGAGTATAATATGTACCTCAAGACATTTTTAAAGTAAGATATAAAATAAATGTATTATCTATATATTGTTATGACTCCCTCAAAGATACATTCAAAGTGTTACATACACTTCAATTTTACCTCACAATACTTTTCATTATACAAAGGTTTTCCTTGTGTTTTAAAACTTCCATAGTTTTACATTTTTACCTTCTTCAGTCTTCTTTTCTACTATCTAAAGGCAATAGTGTGTAGAGTGAAGTGAAAACTCAAACTGCTTGAGTTCAAATTCCAGTTCTGCCATTTTCTAGCTGTGTGATATTGGATAGTTAACACTTTGCACTTTAATGTTCTCATCGAAAAAGTGGAAATTAAAAACTCTTAGGTAATAACTTCTCTATATAATAAACATCAATAACTTCCAACTGGCTGAATAAATAAACCATGTATCTACTTTTTTACAGAGACCAACAGAGACTGTAGGAGTGTTAGACTTCGTGTATAGGTCTTTTACAAATGTGTTACATTTTCCTATTACAAGAATTAAACTACTCTTTAAAATAACCACTTCCATGACTTTAATTTATGATGTTATTCAACAAAATTCTTTTTTTTAACTTTTTAAATTAAATTATAGTCATTTTACAATGTTGTGTCAAATAACAAAATTCTTAAAGGACACAGGTCCAACTTACACTACCTCCTCCAAGAAAATCTAAATAAAAAACTATCCTTGAGTCTTCCCATCATCCTCTGTTACTATAAATCTCTGAAAGAAAAATCTAACTGAAAGAAAAATCTACATATTCTTTTCTTAAAAGTCCCCTAAAACAGAATTTTAATTCTACTCATTAATTACATTAATTACAAAGGAGCAAACTATATCCTATGTGTTAAGTGAGTTGCCTAAGTCTAAGATACTAAAATTATTCTAACACTAAAAAATACGACTTATAATTTTTGTGACAATTTGTTAAGGTTCATCTTCAATTCCATTATTCAGTCAGCAGATTATTGAGTTCCTTCAATATGTCACACACTAAAACAAGACAGGCCTAGTCCCTCCCTCCATTCTAGGAGAGAGAAAATTTCAAAACTTCACACAATTAGGTAAGTACAATAAATATGAGGACACATAGTTAATGGACCAGAGGTAAGTTTGTTCCTTATTTGTTTTGTTGTATATTTTTTCCTTTTTTTTTTATTTTAGTGGAGAGATGGAAGATGGGTGGAGGTAGAGTGGTCAAGGAAGGCTCTGAAGTATGTGACCTTTGAGGGGAATTCTGAGAAATGATGAAGTATAATGGGAAGAGAGGAGCAAGGAGGGAAGAACACTCCTAGCAGAAGGAGTAGTTTGTGTCCTATCCAAAGAGAGGAGCACTGAACATTTAAGGAATTCAACAAAAGCTCATAGAGGAAGGGGAGAGTAGCTTAAGATAAAGTTGGAGACACAGGCAGGAGCCAGATCACCCTTTTAGACAGTACTTAACAGTTTGAAAGCACTTTAACCTAAGCCTTCTCTTTTGTTTCTCAATAAATTAGTAAAGTAGTTATTATTTGTTTATTATTCTAAATCTAGTATGTCACCCATTTTTAGAATGCCCACATGGGAAGGTCCAAGTTACTTAAATCACCTTGTCTCCTGGCAGTTACACTTGTAACTAAGATTCTATACCTGATACTATCATCTAAGAAACCTACTTTCTGGACATACCTTCAAACTAGCACTTTCTAAAAAGCATGAAATATTCAAAATATTTTCAAAAGCATTAAAAATGGCAACCACATGTCTACTGAAGGAATATATCCTGACACAAACCTTTTAAAACTTTGTATTTACAAGTCTGTCTTTCTCCATTAGACTGTGAATTCTGTGAAGGTAGGGACTGTGTGTTACTTAATCTGACATATCCAAGATCTAGCACTGAGAACTTAATACTTTTAATATAACGGATTCCCCCAAAAGAGGTAGGAACACTGCGGTTCACAGTGTGCTAGAGGTCACAAAACTTATAAATCGCTGAATTCAGTTCCAGTTTAAAGGAATTTTACCTTTTCCCGTAAGTGTCTGCAACTTCGTATAATACTGGAGAGATTTATTCAGCATCAAACAGACAATATAATTTTTGTCCACGTGTTATCAGGCCATTGTTTAAACATTCGAACAAATAAGCTACTTAAGTCTACTATCAAAAATGTTAGGAATATAAATTTCAATTACACAAATTTCGTGCCTTAGAGAAACTCAAGGCTCTTCTCTTAAGCATGCATGCCTCCCACTAAAGTTCTTACGAAAGGAAAAAATCCCTCTTACAGAGTAGGTCCAATTTGGGGGTGCGTCCAAATTTAAAGAACATACTCCACTTCAGATTAACCTAGAATGAGGAAATAAGTCCTTCACTCTTGAGCACATGCCCAAGATAAGAGGTTCTTTACCCCTTCAGAAAAGGAATTACTGGTAGGGACTAAGAATGAAATTGTGTTGTGTGTGTAACTGTGTTTTGAGGGGAAGTGAGTCACGGAATAATTTAAAAGAGGAGAAATTAGAAACCCAGTTTTAGAGCGAGAACGAAATGTAAACTGGCATGTAGAAGAATCAGACTTGTGTACGGGTTCTCTACACACTTCTACTGCAGAGTTGTAACTCATACACAGCACTTTAAAGGCCTTTACAGGCCCCGTTATTTCCTCGCTGCAAAGACGCTTCAGCAAGCAACTATACTGCCTCCTCCGCGCCGCCCGGCAGCCACAGGAAATGTAAGACAGCTCCAGCTCCAGGGCCCTGCCGCTTTATAATGGAAGCTGGCCTGGGCCGTTGGACTGACGGCAGAGGTAGGGAAGTCAGTCTACCGACGCCAGCAAGCGGTGGAGAACACCGCAAATTCCAGTCAATGGCGGGCCAAGAGAGGCGTCAGCCTCAACCTCCACCTCAGCCACCACCTCAGCTCGGCCGGTTCAGTGCCGAAAAGAGACCGGAGAATCCAGCGTTCCGAAGGCAGCAAGTACTACCGAGCAGCTTCCCAGCGCTTTTGGTTTTTCCGCGCCCGCCCCGCCCGCAGTTACCTTCCCAAGTGACATCGTAAAGCTCTGAGACCTTCGCCATCTTCTCAGAACCAGAGGCCGCGGGGTGAGGGCGGGGAGACGCGATCACGTGACGTGTGGCCGGGCGGCGGGGAATTACGAATCCATTTCTCATTGGCCGACAGGGCGGAGGGGGTGGGATCCGTCGCGCACGTGCACGAGGCTCCGCGGAGGGGCTGCTGGGGGAAGGGGGCGGGGCGACCTGGGCGGTACGCCGCGCGCCGAACTGTGAGGACACCCTGGCGGAGCCGCTGGAGCCGGCTAGGGGTGAGGTGTTTACTTTACCATGGATTCTTAACAAATACTGGGTTTTTAACGTGTCCCGCTTCTGGTTTTTAATATATTTCTACATAAGTGTGTTCATTCTCTTACCTCGCCGTAATTAGCACCTTGCTCTCTTCAAGACGTGGTGCAGTGCAACATTCTGCTCAAATGCCTTTTCGGTCCCCAACTTTTCTCCTTCCATAGTGGGATTCCCTTTCCATTTCCTTTTTAATATTCGGCTAAACGGATACACTCCAAGGAATATTCGTTAAATCTCTTTGAAGAACTACTGGTTCTGCCTTTGCACATTATGTTCCTGTGGCCAAGGATTTCTTAATGTTCACGGGGTTGGCTTCATGCCATCCTAAACCGTTCTTCGTGAATCACTCACTGCCTGCCGCTCTAGATTTCAAACTGTAAGAGCAGCCAATATGTAAGTGCTTATACGTAAAGGAAATGCTAAGTAAATGTACACATGAGATCATCACAGGCCCCACTCATCACTCCTCTTCAGTCTCATAGCGGGGTGAGGGGGACTTTAGTCTAATTCCTTTCAGAAATCTTTGGACCTGGTCTACTAGAGCTAGGGAGAAATGTCTAAAGTAGAAGCTAAAAATGTGAGGGCCATAAGTGTATATTTAGTATTTGAAGCAGTGACAAAAAATGTAAAGGGGGAATGTGCAAATTGAAGAAAGAAGCCTAAAAATCCCTGCATAACAGGTGTAGTTAAGGATTAGTGAAGAAAAGGTAATCAAGATATGAGAAAGAAGGAAAAAAGGGAGTCATAGCCCACAAGCCAAAGGAGTTAAGTTAAAGAAAAAAAGGAACTGTTAATGGCACCTGCCACAGGGAAGTTGCATAAGGATAGAGAAGGCCAATGAATTTATAAGCTTGAATTAGATTCTGAATTAGCTTCATTCTTTCAAGACTAGACAGACCTTTTAAAGGAAACCGTTATTCAAAAAATTAAAAATCCAGTCAGAAATTCACATATTCTAATGCTTCAATAAAACAACCTGGTGTAGTGGAAGGAACAAGAACTCTTTATCAAATGGACTTGAATCCAGACCTCATTCGGTAGCTGCTTGACTTTCAGCACATATATCTCTGATCACTGGAGTTGCTCAGATATAAAAAGAAGCTAACTATCGATATAAAAAGAAAATATCTACCTTAAGTTGTTAATCAAGATTAAAAGAGACACTGCATGACATTCTTGGAGGTAGCAGTCCTGTGGCTATAAGTACTATTAATATGCTAATGATGCCCAAATGCATAAAATCGAGCGGTCCTTACTTCTCCCCTGAAACCCAGTTCTGCTTTGTTGACATATTCACTTAGGTGCCTAGTATGTATCTCAAAGTTAACATGTTCCAAACAGAACTCTGGATTCCTGCCACTGTGTCTCCCAACTTGCTCTTCCCCCTCAAAACTGATGAGACCATCCACGTAATTGCACTAACTAAAATTCTAGGACTTATTGATTCCCTTCTTTGCCAACACTCCCCCCGCCCCAGTCTACCAGCAAATTATGTATTGTATATTTTTAAAACTTTACCAAATCCATCTATTTTTTCATCACTACTACTACCTTAATCAAAGCCACAACCATCTCTCCCCTGAATGACTGTTACAGCCTGCTAACCTCCATAGTTTCATTCTTGCTGTGTAAAATCTATTTTCTATTCGGTGGCCTTACTAGTCTTCAAAAAAAAAACGATCACAAAAGTCCTTTGCAGCTCTCAAATGGCTTCCTGTGGCAATAAATACATACTCTATAAACACTTTACCGTTGATACAGGAAAAAGTAGGGTGAGAGAGGATGGCCATGTCCCAGGTCTTGGTTGAGTCCTAGGGATGTGCCCCTCCAAGTGTGGGTCTTTGATGTCACAAAGGAAAGAATTAAAAGCGAGCCACAGCTGAGTAAAAGTGAATTTATTCAGAGAGATACATACTCCATAGACCGAGTACAGGCTGTCTCAGAAGGCAAGAGAAAGGCCACGAGGTGTGGGGTTGGGTGCTTAGTTTAAAGTAAAAGTAGTTACACGCTCCATAGACAGAGTGTGGTCTTTCTCACTCAGAAGGGAGAGCAGCCACAAGGTGCGGAGGCTGTTAGGTTTTATGAGCTCAGTAACTTCATATACTAACAAGTGGGAGGGTTATTCCGACTACTTTTGGGAAAGAGTCTGTGATTCACCACCCACTGTTTGACCTTTTATGGTTAGCCTCAGAACTGTTATGGCGCCAGTGGGCATGCCATTTACCATGTTAATATATTACAGTGAGCGTGTAATGAAGCTCAAGGACTACTAGAAGTCAAATCTGCCATCTCTAGCCTCAAGGCCTACTGGGAATTGAATTTGCTGCCATCTTGGTGTTAACTGCTGTGTCATTCCTTGAACAGCTGTCGCCTGCCCTCTTCCTTCCTGTCTCACTGTGGTTTATAGGGCTTTACTCAGTCCTGCTCCCTCCTACATCTCTTAACTCATCTACTACCATTCTGTCTCTTTTCACCAGACCCCATTCTCACCAACTTCTGTTTCTCCAACATGCCAAATTCCTGTCTGTCTTGGGCCTGGGATTTGTTCAGTGGAGGTGAAAGCCCAAGGAATTGTCTTTTAATGACTTACAGTGGGTATTAAGGATTACAGCTAATTGAGGGAGTGAGTGTTTTCTAGTCACTTTAACTAAATGCCCTTGTAGCTAGCTACTGTTGCCTATCAGGCAACAAACTATATGACATTATCAGAATTTTTGAACTGAAAACTAGAATAATTTCATTTTAGATTTAAAAGACACTTTAGAACACTATTTAGAACAATATTCTTTAGAACAATATTTGTCAAAATGTTTTGTCTGTAACTCATGGTAGAGAATACATTTTACATCACACAGTATGCATACATACATTTAAAACTGAAACAAAATTTGCAAAGTAGCCTTTTAATGTGTCTTGTCCTCTATATTTTCTATTCAAATTGAATCAATTCCATTTTATTGTGTGAATATATTTAGTTGTGACCCACTAATGGAGTAATGACCCATGATTTGAAAAATAACTAATTTGTACGTTTCCTAATCTGAGGCCTTGAAATGAAATGGTTTGCTCAAGATCTCACCATGGGAAATTCATACAGAAAAGATCAGTTGTTTAGATCATAGAAAAATGAAATATTTACAGGAAAAATGTTGAAGGGAAATTTTTGTCACCAGTAGTATTCCCTGAAGTGAGTTAAGTGTTCATATTTTATAACATTTTGGATGTCCAATAAAGTTTGCTTTCCTCAAACACACTCAGGAAAAAACTGGTCTGTTAATGACAAAACTTCTATATTCTTTAACATTTTATAATGTAATTATAAATGTAAATAAAAAAGAAATATCTTCTATAGATAAAACCATAACGTTGAGAACATAAACATCAAACATACTTTCTATAAATCCACCTTAGAAAAGTTCTGTTTTACCTTTCACTTTCTCATTCCTTTGATAAAGAAGAGTTTTTATTTGTGTATGTTAAAAATGCTTAATCCGGTTTCTCTGGTTGAACAACTGCCCAACATTGGTGACAAATAATCGGGAAAACTATCCAAGCAGCCAAATACTAGATTATGCCATGTCAGACACCATGGGAAGCACTATTTTATTTAATAATCTCAACAGCAGAGTTAAAAAGGCACATAAATGTGATCTATTGTATGCCCTTTTTCATGTGAAACTATTTTATGATTTTCATTTTTTCCTACAAGATCATGTTTGAATGGTTAGAATAATAGTATGTTGGAATGAACTAGGGGTTCAAAAAGGAATAGCTTTGGATAAGTCCACATTTTCTTTGAGATGAAATAAGCTTTGTTAAGTTATCAAGCCAGATTGACCCACAAAGTACTTTAAAGTGCTTCTCTTTTACAGAGTTTACTTAATTCAATTAATATATTCAGACATTATGAAAGCAACTACTTAAATTTAATAAACCTCATAGCATTTATAAAGTGGACATTATTTAACAACACAAAACATAATACCATTTTAACTGATTTTGCAATATTCAGCATCATCATCAAATTATTTATTTAGAATCTGCTGTCTGCTTTGTTCTGTCTTATAATCATAGTGAATTAAACTATCCCACGTTATGTAGCACAGTTTTTACAACCCCTTCTTACTACACAACAATTATCCATCAAAATAAATTGGTCTCACTACAACTCTCATATAAAATTTATCAGCGTTTTAAATTGTTATTTTTTCTAATTAGTGAATCATAACCATAATCCCTTTGTATTTAAGGGAAAATATTATTTGTTTCATCTTTATTCCATGTCAGTAGATTTTTACTGTGACACATTCACATTTGGAAGGAAGTTTTCCTTAGAGTTGTATTTACTAAAAGCCAGATTAATACAGAATTGCTTGAGGAACTTTCTGAACATTGTTTTTTATTACATTTTTTAAAAATATGTAATTTAATGTGTTCCCCTAAAACACAAGAGCCTATGCCTTCTTTGCTGGCACAGCCATTAGCATTTTTAGGCACTTCTAGTTTTTCCAAGTTTGCCGTCATTTGTAATACATAAATGTTTTAAAATGTGCCAGCCATTTATCTCACATCCAATTATATTATTTTAGAAAGCAAAGGAGAGTCTCTGGGAAACATTTCTAGTGAGATCACCTTGGTCCTTTCACAGCAGAATTCACAAACTGATAATTACCCCTCTGTGCCATAGTTGTAACAGTGAAGAGGAAAGTACATCCAGAAAGAGTACACCCAGAATTTCTCCCTCATGGGCAATAAATTAGAGCTATTTCTTTTGGAGATTTATAACCATACTTAAAAGTCCACTTTTTTAAACTATATTTACTTAATTTCCCCAAAGTGCATTTTCTGTTCTGATACACACATACATCTGTGCATATGTAACAGTCCTTGTGCAAAAATGTTTTTCATAAACATCTCTTTTGGGTAGCAAACATCCGGAAGTTTCTATGTATTGTTACTGTGACCTGTGGTCTCTGGAGCCCATCTAGACTCCATTTTCTACAGTAGACTTATAACTGAATTAATTGTTTACTTGAAAAATGTTCTAAAAAATATCTATTCACAGTAAACAGATTGCATTATGAGTAAACTCACACAAAAACATACTGAATATTAAGTTATACTTTTTTTATAATTACATATTATTCTGTTACAGTAATTTTCATTTTTCAACAGTCCTCTTTGGTAGTTTGGTAGCATCACTCTAGCCGCAAGTGGCTATTTGTTCAGACCTGTAGTTCTGAGGTATCTTAACCCTTGTCACCAGACCACAAGGTCATTTACTGGTCATCTTTTTCTGTCTAAGGTCATGCTGACCATTCTTGGCTTAAATTAGTTTAAAGGCCAATAGCCACATTGGGCATAATGTGGCCACATTACCTTTCAGATCATAAATCATATGCCTTTTTTGCATATAGGAGGGCTTATTTAGTCAACCTCATGGATTTATTTAGAAAAAAGACTGGTTTCCTGGCAGAATGTGTGTACGAAAACTGTCCACCCCCTAAATCCATTCCAGCAACCCCATCCAGCACCACCTCATTCCTGAGGAAATAGCACAATATCAGAATTTTTTTTAACTTCATGTAGCATAACTTCTTAAATTGTACTTAGGATTGTTTACCTTAAAACTACGAAGTGAGGAATAATACAGATGCGCTCCAAAAGCTGCCTTTGGTTCAAATGGCTGCACCTCACTACAGATTCTTTATAATATTTTGACTTCCTCTGCTCATTATGCTTCTACTGTTATTTCTTTTGCATCTTTTTATAATGAGCTTTAACGTTTGTACTGTGTATGGGTTGGAAGCTGGGACAGACAGAGGGGGAGTGACATCAGTTGATGCAATTTTTCTAGCAATAGCAAGACTGTGGAATATTAAACATAACCTCAATTGAGTCATGAAAAGACATCAATCAAACCCAAATTGAAAGCCATTCTATAAAAATAACTGACCAGTACTCATCAGAGAGTGGCAGTGGCATTATGTATTGCTCTTCTAAGCTTTTAGACAAATTCTTGGTCTTAAGCACCCATTGACAGATTCTGATGTCATATATGTGGTAGAATTAAGAGTATAGAATTATAGTTATGAAAGAATTCCCAAGGTAGTTTTTATTAGATACAAATTGTACATATCAAGTCATAGAGGATGTAGAGCTCCTTTACATTCTACATAACAGCAGTGGATTCTTTAACATATATATATGTTGCTCTCCTCCACAGAACTTGCTGGGTTTTAATCCCAGGTTGTGCATTTTAGCTATATAAATTCAGTAATTTGAGCAAGTTATCTTAACTTCATTGAACACTAGTTTCCTCATATGTTAAATGAGCCTAATAATACTTGCTAATTATAACAAGTACTACAAGTAATAAAAAATTCCTCACACAGAGTCTAGCATATGGCATAGTAATACCTTTAGTATTACATACCATTTATTGATTACTTGCTGTATACCAGACATCAGACAAAATGTTCCTTGTAGATTATTTCATTTAATTCTTACAACCCCACTTTATAGATGAGAGAACTGTTAGAAGAGGTTAAATAACTTCCCCAAACACACTATGATATACTCCTTCATATAGTATGTTCTTAGTAAATAGTAGCTGTGTCATTTTGGGCTTCTGGGAAGCAGATGTTGAAATGGAGTTGGGAATGCAAGAAGTTCATTAGGGGACAATCCATGTGAAAGATAAGAGGGGGAGGAAGCAAGATTGGGTAGGAAACATTTTAGACCACAGTACAAGTCTGATACCTGTGAAAGAAGAGAGTAGGAAGAGGACTGGACAGAAAGAGCCTCCCACCATGATTTACATGTGACAAAGTATCAGCCAACTCAATGAGAAGAGCTCCTGAGCAAAGATTACCCATTAGAAGAGTCCTACATTGAGCAGAAATAGCCAGGCCTTAGGACCCCTACATGTTCAGTCATTAGTCAGGGGCTGTCCTGAAGGGCATAACATCAGCTCAGAAGCTGAAATAAATCCTGAAGCCTTTAATAGCCAGAGGCTGTCAGCTCCCTGCCCTCCTTGCAGCTGAAGAGCAAGTTCTTTCTTGAAGGGAGATTCTAATAGTGTCCCTCCATAGCTGTCACGGTAGCCCTTATTATTCTTGCATTCTGGGTGTGATCCTTCATTTTTGATGAGAGGTAGGGGTGTGTCTTCTCCTGACTAGACTCAGAAGCAATTTACATAGCTATTTGACATATGGAAATTATATTTCAACACCACAGAATGTCTTTTTCTAGTATATGATTAATAGCTCCACAGTGGTTGCCTTGTGTTGAAGAAAAGACCTGGTAAAATATATATAGCCCACAGAGGCTTGAAATTTTTCTTATTTTTTATGAGACACAAATCAGGAATTTCTCATTCTTTTCTTGGTTTGGGAATTAATGCTACTACCATTGATAAATTACTTAGAACTTCATATTTCTTTCTCTTTTCACTCAGGTTCCAAATATATCCAAGTAGTTTAGGATTTTTAAACATGTTTCCAAGAATAATAGTATAACTCTAAAACATGGCAGCATTTCTAAAATTCTACAACTCAAGTACTAGAAACTTTCAAAGGCATTGCACTCGGAAATGCCCTTTGATAATTCATTGGATAACTGCTGTACTATATCATTGATGATAGCTTGTTAATAAACTTAATTAAATTTTACCAGTACTTCCCCACCAAAACAGGTAATTGACCTGAAATATGAATAGTGCATAAATCCAGAGACCCTCACTGCCAACCTGCTCTTTCTGTTCTGAACGCCAAGGCAGCCCTAGTTAGCATTTGCCTTACTGCACAGGTGCTCTTCTAGGAAGGTTACAAGATTACATTACAAGCCCTGCGCTTTCTCGACTGCCAGAAGGAATGATACAATGAAATCACTACCCAATGCAGGAGGCAGAGTGCCTCCCAGATTCATATAAATAGCAAAGTTACTGAAGGATTGTACCTTTTAAAGAAAGAATTAAAGCAACAAAAGAGGAGTGGTGAACAAAGCAAATTTTGCCTGTTGAATTCAGGGAGCAGTCACATGGGACACAGTAGCCATGAATCTCAGTACAAAAATTTAGGTGTGCAAGAACAAAATTTGCATTTTATACAACTCAGTTTTTATTTGAGGTACCATTCTTGGAGGAAGACAAAAATTTAATCAGTCAGGTTGGAATTTGCCTTGCACTTCTGCCTTATTTTTAAAGGCTACTCTGACTTCTGTGAAAGTGACATTAAAAATATTTAACCATATGACAAGGCCACCAGCTGTGGTAGGAGCCTTCAAGATGGACTCCAATTATTTTCACCTCCTGGTTATTACACACTGTGTAGTCTCTTCCACATTGAATAGGGATGACCTGTGTCATCAGTGGGCTGTTTCAAAAATGATGGAGTGTGATTTTGGAGGCTAAGTCATAAAAGACATTGTAGCTTCTTCCTTGCTCTCTCTTAGGTCACTCATGGAGAAGGCAGGTGACATGTTACAAAGACACTCAAGCAGCTTCACAGAGAGGTCTACATGGTGAGGAACTGAGGTCTCCTGCAACTTGCCAGCCATGTGAGTGACACATCTTAGGACTGATTCCTCAGCCCGTCAAGACTGCAGACTCAGCTGACATCTTGACTCATGATATATCATGAGCCAGAAGAGCTGGGCTAAGCTGCTTCCAAATTCCTGACCCACAGAAACTGTGTGACATAACAAATGGTAATTATTGCTTTAAGCTGCCAGTTTTTGTCAGTTTTTTTTTAAGTACAGTCAGTTACAACGTGTCAATTTCTGATGTACAGCACAATGTCCTAGTCATGCATATACATATGTTTATTTGTTTTCATATATTTTCATGAAAGGTTATTACAAGATATTGAACATTTCCCTATGCTATACAGAAGAAACTTTCTAAAATCTATTTCTATGTATAATGGCTAACATTTGTAAATCTCAAACTCCCACATTTATCCCTTCCCACCCCCTTTCCCCAGTAACCATAAAGTTGTTCACTATGTCTGTGAGTCTGTTTCCATTTTGTAGATAAGTTTATACTGTACTTTTTCTTTTTGAATTTCATGTATGTGACATCATATGGTATGTTTCTTTCTCTTTCTGGCTTACTTCACTTAGAATGATGATGTCCAGGTCCATCGATGTTGCTGCAAATGGCATTATTTTATTCTTTTTTATGGCTGAGTAGTATTCCATTGTATAAATATACCACAGCTCCTTTATCTAGTCATCTGTCGGTGGACATTAGGTTGCTTCCATGTCTTGGCTATTGTATATAGTGCTGCTGTGAACATTGGAGTGCATGTATCTTTTTGAATCAGAGTTCTCTCCAGATATGTATCTAGAAGTAGAATTGCTGAATCATATGGTAGGTCTATTTTTAGTTTTTTGAAACTTCTCCATACTGTTTTCCATAATGGCTGCACCAAACTACATTCTCACCAGAACTGTAGGAGGGTTCTCTTTTCTCCATAACCTCTCCAGCATTTATTGTTTGTGGACTTTTGAATGATGGCCATTCTGACTGGTGTGAGGTGATACCTCATTGTAGTTTTGATTTGCATTTCTCTGATAATTAGTGGTATTGAGCATTTTTTCATATGCCTATTGGTCATTTGTATGTCTTCATTGGAGAATTGCTTGTTTAGGTCTTCTGCCCATTTTTGTATTGGATTGTTTGGGGTTTTTTTGTTGTTGTTATTAAGTTGTATGAGCTGTTTATATACTCTGGAAATTAAGTCTTTGTCAGTCACATCATTTGCAAATATCTTCTCTCATTCCATAGGTTGTCATTTTGTTTTGCTTATGGTTTCCTTTGCTGTGCAAAAACTTGTAAGTTTAATTAGGCCCCATTTGTTTATTTTTGCTTTTATTTCTGTTGCCTGGATAGACTGCCCTAGGAGAACATTGCTAAGATTTATGTCAGAGAATGTTCTGCCTATGTTTTCTTCTAGGAGATTTATCGTATCTTGTCTTACATTTAAGCCTTTAAGCCATTTTAAGTTTATTTTTGTGTATGGAGTAAGGGAGTGTTCTGACTTCATTGATTTACATGCTGCTATCCAGTTTTCCCAACACCACTTGCTGAAGAGACTGTCTTTTCTCCATTGTATATTCTTGCCTTCTCTGTCAAAGATTAATTGACCGTAGGCCTGTGGATTTATTTCTGGGCTCTCTGTACTGTTCCATTGAGCCATATGTCTGTTTTTATGCCAATACCATGCTGTTTCGATTACTATAGCTGTGTAGTATTGTCTGAAGTCTGGGAGGGTTATTCCTCCAGCTTCGTTCTTTTCCTTCAGTATTGCTTTGGAAATTCTGGGTCTTTAGTGATTCCATATAAATTTTAGGATCATTTGTTCTATTTCTGTAAAAAATGTCCTGAGTAATTTGATAGGTATCACATTAAATCTGTAGATTGCCTTGGGCAGTACTGCCATTTTAACGATATTGATTCTTCCAATTCAAGAGCATGGGATATCTTTACATTTCTTTAAGTCATCTTTAATTTCCTTAATCAATGTTTTGTAGTTCTCCATGTATAAGTCTTTCACCTACAGATTTATTCCTAAGTATTTTATTGTTTTGGTTGCAAATTGAAAAGGGATTTTTTTTTTACTTTCTCTTCCTGATAATTCATTGTTAATGTAAAGAAATGCAATTGATTTTTGTGTGTTAATCTTGTATCCTGCTACCTGGAGTAAAGTGCTGTACAACAAAAGATAACTAATATACCAAACAGTCAGAAAGGATACAGACACTGGGTTTAGTGCTTATGCAGTGACCTAGGCTTCTCTGCTTTCCCAGGCATTAATCCTTTAGTTTGGGGAAAGTAGGTGATTCTGGGAAAATAAATGGCTATCAGTGAATACAAATACATTGATAATATATCAGTCAGTATAGCCATACCAGTTATATATCAGTCATGCTTACGTAGTCTCAAGGCATTGTGAAGCCTGCCTGGTCTTCCTGTTAACCATACAGTCCTCTCCACAAGTGCCTCCAGGTCCTGTGGCTTCCCTGACTACTTCTGGGTGACATGGGAATTTGAGGTTTCCTCCTTAGGCATCCCTTCCAGCCTTTTGTTTTTTTCTGTGTTCTCACCTCCTTGAGACTCTGACTGGCTATAGAGCTTCTCTCCTGGAGAGCCACCAAACTCTGCTTTTAACAGCTCCCTTTGAGTACCCTCTCTACCACTCTAGCCTCTATTTCCCAACCTTGTGAGAGCAATGTTTTAGTCTCAGGGGAAATTCCCCCACATCCCCAGTGCTTTATTCCCTAGGAACTGCCTTACTTGTGATTTATCGAGAGGCACCTACTGTATATCCTCTTAGGTGGGTTTTGAAAACCAAAACCGGTTTTCTCCTCAAACACTCTCCCTCTGAGACAAAGATTCAGAGTCTGGAGGAGGGTGAGGAAAGTTTCACTCTCAAAGAGAGACAGAGAGAGACAGAACAAGAGAATGTCACTTCTTACCTCAAAAATGTTATCACACTACCCTGCCTCTAGAGAAATTAATATCTGACCACTAAGGAAATGTTGTATTGGCTGGGACATTATTATTTCATCAGAGTTCAACAGGTTCTAACTATAGCCATTTGCTCTAATTCCATGATGATAAAGCAGCCCCTTGGTTTGCGTTTCTAAGTGCCTAGATACCCTGAAGGAGATACTTCGTTCACAAAGCCAATATATGCTACTCATGTTTTGTACCTCTTTCCTCGAGAAATCCTTGCCTGACTTCCCTAGATCAGGGTTCGGTGTCTGCTCATGTGCTCCAGTACTGCCTGCATGTCTATCTCCCTTAAAGCATTTGTCCCGCTGTATTATAATCATTACTTATTTGTGTCTGTTATGAGATTCTAAGCTCTATTCAACACCTGTGTGTTATGTTCATAATCTGGCCACAGAGACTCAAGAAGTACTTGTGGAAAGGCAGAAGCACCATTAGAAAAGAGCTCACCAATTTGGGGCTTTATGAACCAGTAAAATTTCAAGGGAAAAGGTGGGGGATCCATTATACAGTTGCCAACTTCTTATTTTGCTAAATGAGTATATTAAAAATAACAACAATAGTTTAGCTTCACATCATTTCATCTTAAAATTGCTATTTTGACACCAAAGGAGTATTACGGATTCACTAAAGAATAATTCATGAGAAGAGTAAATGTAACTTCTTTACTAGAGACTAGTGGCAACTTCTACCTGAATTAGCATCACATGGCAGACACATTTGAGAACTGCTGCTAACTTCTTAAATCCCTTCCTACTCTCAGATAAGTTAAGACAATGTGAAATGGTAATTCACCTATTTTCAAGGTAGCAACTTATAGATATTTTTTTAAAGAAACACTCCCTAATAGCTAAAACTTGTTTCCTATCCTTTTTATCTATGTCTTTAAGGAAAAAGTCATTGAGCAGCTTGGCACATGATTCTCAGCTGGGACTAATTACCCTTTTTTTTTTTTTTACTGTCTCCCAGTAAATCTGTGAAGGAGTGAACATATTAGAAAGTGAGAACTACTGTAATTTTTGTTTATTTTTAAAATATATTTGGGGAAAGATTGCTCCAGTCTGATCTAAGAAGAAAAATAAAGTTATAATTGAAGTATGATGCAAAACATTTCTGGCAAATTTATTTTGGATATAGCTCTTGTCTCATAAATTCAGCAAAATTCACTTTTGTTAAATTTTACAGTAAAGTGAAGTAAATGTATTATTAGTTTCATATGTCACAAATTACAAAAATTCCTCATCTCATTCACAAAACAGTAAATATATAAAGATGTTTTCATTGAAACTGGAGCAGAAGGTACTGTTACCTCTGCAAATAGGTGTAGTATCAATAAAAGGCAAAAAGACAATATAGACAACACAGAAGCAATGTTTCTATTTTAAAATTCACTTATTTTGAGAACCCATGGGATAAATTACAGTAGCCTTTGGGAAAGCTGAGGCATTAAAATTAGGTGATGGAAAGATGAAATCAATGATGATGTAATCTACACCTTTGATGACACAGGAGACTCCCTTAAAGATCCCTCCTGCATGCCGTATCTGTTGTAATGCTTCAGGCTAGGAGAAATTTCTGAATCTAAATTGTGCCTTCCCAAATCTATGCTTTCTCTTTATTTAATTTTACTTTCTATTGTAATTCCCTTGCTGTCCTTAGGAAGAAAAAGAAAGGAGGCCTTAATATGCTGGTTTTAGTACATTTTTTTCTTATGATGTTAATACTGAAAGCAAAAGCATGTTATTTTCTATTATAAAACAATTTTACAAGTAAATTTCATAGCTTAAGTCCAGCTTATCAATAAAATAGTAGATCAAATAATATCCATATGCATAAATAAAAATTAGTAATTTCATAAATTACATGTCTCTGTACACTGTAAACTCTCAAGAGGAATTATGCTTTTTGTTTTACATAGTGTTTTTTGTCTCATCAGAGTTCTTTGAAAATAAGAGTCTACTACATTTAACTCTAGTTTGAAATATATAACATGTTAAATCAAGCTTATGAAAACAAATCTATTTTAATGTATTATTTGCCCAATTATGATACCACCTAATATAATATTTAAGGAATATTAATTTAGTAGCCAGAACTGGTATTTATGATTATTATCATTAATATAATCTAATTCAATATGAGTATAGGACATAAGAGGTCAGATTTGTACTATATATTTAAAAAATGGAAA